AAGGTAACCTTTTATCAAAGACATTGGTGCTTGCTGGCTGGTAGTTTCGGAAAGAATGAATGGGAAATGAAATGAAATGAAATGAAATGAAATAAGAAGCGAGTAGGTATGACATCATACATATGCACCCCTGTTCCAGTAGAACTACGGGAAGCTATGCATGGCATCACCATACATACATAACATACATCATTTTTTCATAACGTACAAAAACCAAGCATGCATGCATGTTTCTGATTTTCTTTCCCAATTCTATTCTTTTTTCTTTCCTTGCTTTATGGGATGATCATGATAATTCTCCGAAAATGTGCTTTGTGGCGGTGCAAAGGTATGTATGTACTTTTGAGTCATAACAGAATTGTTGAGTTGTTAGTTAATCAGTTGTTGATAATGGGTTAGTCAGTGGGTGGGATTGAGGGAGGGAGGGATTAGTAATTCATTAATCAATAACTAACATGAATTATTTAATTTGCTCTACGTAGTACTTTTGATTCTTCGTTTAAAGAGTAACTAGAAATAATCTAATGATAGAATCATGATTATGTGTCTATGACTGAGCTAGTTACCCTATAAAGTAAACCTACTGACTCAACTCACCTCATCTCACCTAACTTACTTACTTGTTAGTATTTCCGAGTGAGTCGTAAATCATTCCCCACATAGTTTAGTTAACCCCTCTTTTTTTTCATGAGGTGGGTTTGGGGGGGATCCACAGTAGTAAATCATTCAGTAGTCCACTTTTAGTCCACTTTTGAAGGAAAGTCCCTTGGGTACGCAATTTGGTCTGTTTTATCGGTCGGCTATCCACTCCAATTAAAGAAAAAGGTTTTGTATCAGGTTGGTGGAGAAATTGTGTGGGTTAGGGATCGATCTACATACATACATTCATCGTACACTTGTATCTGATTTACATTTCTTAGAATTGTTTTTGTTATACACGATTTGGATGTTTCTGTGTGTATGTTGTTTTTCTGAAGGTAATCAAGTTCAATGTTTGATTAAAAGAATGGTCTTGTAATGTTGGCATAAACTTAATCTAATCATGAAACTTTGCTGTACGTTCCAGCTACAAGGCATTTATTGGCACAACACAAATTGAAGATGTAATTTCCCTAAGAACTATAATCTCCTCCTCAGCCACGATCTCCCGCTGCCGCTGCCATCAGTTACCACTACAGGGTTCTCTCACCTACTTTCGGGTAGTATCTTAAAAAAGTCTCATACAACCATGTCTTAGTTATGCTGTCCTTTTAACTTTGCTTACTTCTTCGTATTCTTGATTGTGCTGGCGAATAGGGCTCTATCGTGACTTGTAGTTGCCTGAACATCGTGACTACTACTTTTCTTGATGGCTTGGCTACTGCTCCTGCCTGTGCTCTTTGGAAAGACCCATTATGGCATCTTGCAAGAACCGATACCCAGGGGCAACCTGTTCTTCCCACTCCCGCGTCCCCGGCTGCGTATACAAGTCATGCAAATGAGGCACCGACTCTAGTCCAAGCAGATCACCTACTACTCCCTGAGCCTTCAATTCAGCGATAAATCGCTCCGCCGAATCAAACGGAACGACTTGATCCTGTCGGCTGTGAATGACGAACGTCGGTGTCCGGTCGTTGCCCTCCCGGACTTGTGCCAGTGGGCTGATCGCTGCAAGGCGAGAAGCGGACGGCATCGTGAGGTAATCGGCGCTGCCAGTCTGAGCGTTGAGTAACAATAGGAGGGCAATGCCATTGCCCGATACTGAGAGCACGAGATCAAGGCGATAGGACCCGCTGTCCGATAAAGCATAGCGCTCTGGAAGTGGGCCCGGACTCAACTATCCTATCCTCGCACTTTTGCTTCCAACAAGTAATTGCTGCAGAGATGCCTCGCTCCCTACTCCTCGGGTGAAGCTCGTGCGAGAAAACCCCGCTTCCTGAAGAACCTCCATCCACTTGGACGCTGGCTGAAGAGGATACTCGGTCCCGTTTTCGGCCACCCACCATTCATCAAGCAAGCCGAAAGTAATGTCAAACCACGCCAGCGGTTGAGTTCTCTCAGAAAGAATCACAACCCCGTCATCAGTCAGGCAGTCCCTGAGCCTGCGGCAAGTTTCAACCCTGCTGGAGGTAGCGTGCACACAGTTCGTTCCGATGACTATGTCGTAGCGATTGCGATGCTCGGCTCTCGTTTCCTCTTCTAGATCAATTGTGTCGTAGTCGATCCAGGAGAAATCAACGAATCTGTCCTTCGCTTTGGAGACAATCGGTGCAAATACATCGGTAAAAGTGTATTGGCACGGGATTCTCGCCGCCTCGATAGCCTGCGCCAGCCGCAGAGTTGTGCCCCCGGTGCCTGCACCAACTTCCAGAATGCGTGGGACCCGCTTATCGCTCTTATGATGCATCTCGTGTCCGCGAAGCAAAATCATGACTAGAGTTACGAGCTGATCCGTAGATGTGGATACCATTGGTGAGTTGGCATAATACTCTTCCATAATATTGAATGAGGCTGAACTTCCAAACATCAGCGATTGAGGATCTTGTTCACCCTTGAGAATGGGTGCCAGGTTTTCTCCTGTCAGTTTCATCAACTTTGCTTCCGGCAAATAGGCTGGAAAGCGGGAAACAAAGGTCTCATACGCCTCCGCAGCAGAACCAAATTCTGGGGTTCCACGACCTCGAACTACTATGCTCGCCTGTATGAAAACAACCCCATGAGTCTGAAGAGTTTCCCAAAGTCGAGCAACGAGCTTGCTGTGCTTGGGTATATGCTTGATCGGGTGAATAACCGTCCCTGAGGGCAAAGACAGAACGGGAACCCCCATAGCCTCGAAGGCTTCCAAGATATAGGCCTGCACCAAACGATTTTGTAACGGTAAAACATTGGACCCGTAGGCGATATACCCATTCCTATTTGCCGCATCTTGGAATTGGCTGTCGACTTCGAGCAGCGCCTCTACTGGGTCCCTTGTGGCTGCGGTCTTGTCACCTTCATGTCCAACTACCCCGTTGAGCTTGGTTTGTAAGAGAGCCGATGGAATACCAGAATCAATAGGCGATACCGGCTCATTGTGAGGTATAATATTATCGCTACCATTTGTGAGTCGAGAGTCCCAAGGCGACTTTTGCCTCACCATTTCAGTGAGGTTCTCCACAGACGTTTGTCCCAGGCCTACGGTACTGATGCTCGACTCAAATGCTGCGTTGAGCTCATCCGAAAATTCCATCAAAGATAGAGAATCGATACCAAGGTCTATGAGAACAGCATCCGCAGGGATGTCGGCCGGATCCAAACCAGTGTAATTCGATATGAGCTCCTTAATCACAATTTCGGGGTTCCTGTACTTTTCTTCTGGTGGGGTTGTCACGGCTGTTGTAGCCGTCATAGGACTTGATTCCGTGTCACTAATTATTGGCAGTTCAACGGTAGACATAGCGGCAGTATCAGGGGCTTTTTGAGCCGGCATGCAATCAGGGCGCGATACTGGCTGCTGTGGCCAAGAAACGCTGGCGTTAGCAGCTCCAAGGAATTTGCCCAACTTCACCTTGTCCAGCTGATTAAACCGAACTCCTGACATCATCGCTACCACCTGTCTTTCGGGGGAGCGTACGAAGACATCCCCAATGAACTGATTATTACCAGCCGACTTAATACTTGTGTAGACGAACCACTCCCCCTCGAAATTTGCTAGACAGGTAGTTGTCAGAATCACACGTTCAATACCCACCGCAATCAGGACTTGGTCATCAGCAGCGTCTTCGCTGGTATTTAGCAGCAACCCTGTCACCGAAATAAGGGAATCAAGGAGCACCGCATCACATCTCATCCAAGTAGGGCTCTCTATCCGACCAGGCTGGCCTTCGGGAAGTTTGACGGTTGCTACCGCTTCGTTTCCATCCACTACCACGGAATGGATACCTTGGAGGAAGGGAGCGTAGTGCATCACTTTTGAGAACAACCCATACGCCCTCCTTGCCATGAAGCGCTCGGCCGTCTGGCAGTCTTGGACTCGAGTGAACGCGCCATCCACCAGTCGCCCATATGTAGTCAGGTTGGCTTGTGCTGTTACGGTAGCCATGCCTACGCAATGGACCGAGGGTTGTCTGGACTCTGGAGTTGTGGAATACACAGTGAACTTCCAGGATTGCGTGGGAACAAGCTCTTGGAGCTGCAGCTCCACTTCACGCGATCGGTCTAGCCCCAGAGGCACCTGGAAGTGCAAATCATCAAAACTTAGGTGCTGTGTAGCCATATCCCCGAGTAGAAGCTGAATGGCATTGGTAACACTCTCTAAGTATAAGGGTGCAGGACAAAGTGGTTGTTTCAAGAAAGCATGTCCCTTGACCACCTCCTGAAATCTTCCACACGTCGTATTAATATGAAAGCTCATATGGGAGTCGCAGGGGCCTGCTTCTTTTCGAGCGATCAGTCTCATGGGAGGTGCAGCCACAGAAGCTGCGGAATCTAAGACAGTCGAAGCTGCCAAGAGCTTTTCGTGCAACTCCATAGCTCGGTCGATGTTCTCAGTCCAGTACTGGTTCCTCTCGAAATGATAAGGAGGCAACCATGTTTCTTTAAGCCCTGTAGGAAAATCTCGGATGAAGGACCAATGGGACACAGAAAGCCCTGAATGCCATAGGTCAGAAATAACCGTGGCAATGCCGGTCTCCGGCCCTTCACTTGGCCGGATACTGACTGGATGGAATGTGTGTGCTTTGACATCTAGCATAGCTCTCTTGGTCATCGGTATAATTGGACTATTTATGCCAACCTCAAACCAATTGCAAAGGCCGAGCTGGTGTTCAAGGCGCTGTATGGCATTAACAAAGTACACTGGATCTCTCGCATGTCGAGCAGCATTCCAGTCCTGAATAGATTTGAGTTCCTCCCGAGTACAGGCCTCCACTCGAATGCTGGGTTTGCTCCATGTCATGCTGCGACAAAGATCATCCAAATCCGGCATGATGGGCTCAACAAGATGCGAATGAAACGCATGAGTTGTTGATAGACGTTGGTATTTAAGCCCAGAAATCTCTTTGTGGGTGGATAGATAGAACACGCTCAGCCAAGTCCACGGTGGCTGAAGTTCCTGCTGTAACTACCGAAGTGGGCGAGTTATAGCAAGCGACCTCCAATTTAGCAGTCTTTTCGATACCAGACAAGTGAGTAATGAGGTTCTGGATGTCACTCGGGCTACTATGTATGGCGAGCATTGCTCCCCGCTCAGTTCCCCATTTTGTATCAATGAGTCGGGCTCGATATGCAATCAACTTCAGACAGTCAGTGAGGGAAAGAGCTCCAGACACCCCCAGTGCGACTATCTCGCCAAGTCTGTGGCCAATAATGGCATCAGGCTTGAGCCCGCCATCAATCCAGCAGCGAGCGCAGGCGTATTGTACCGCAAAGATACTGCATTGCAGGCTCAGTGCACTGTCAACGGGTGTTTTCTGGAAAATCGCTGTGGCAATACCCGGAAACCCCTGCTGAATTAGTGATGCATCGCAGGCGTCAATGTTGCTCTTGAAGGCGGGGTATGCTTCGTAGAAGTTTCGATCCAACGCCACCTTGTTATCATATTGCCCGCTCAAGACCATAACCACCGCATTGTGCTGTCGTGTGTATTCAAAGCTTGGTGCTTCAACCTGGTTCAAGGTGCGAACCAATCCAGACACATCGGTCGCGGTAGCACTGAAGCAGAAACGGTGGCGTTTCCTCCGCTCATTCAAAGTAAATGCAACACTGGCCACGTCCACCTTGGAAGCGTGTCTTGACAGATGTGTTGCCAGGTCCCGAGAATGCTCGGTGAGGCTTGTTTTCGAGGCTGCGCTCAAGATAATCGGAAATGCGACCCTCCGGTTCCTTGCCGGTGACGATAATACATAGCTGCGTCTTAGTGCATCATCCCGGGGTACTGGCTCACAGCACAACAGCGCGCAGTTCGATCCTCCAGCACCGTAACTATTCACCAAAGCAGCGCGCTGAGGAACATTCCAATCCTGGAGCTTTCGGGCGATCTCCATTCCATCCGGCTCCAGTGCTGAAATTGCTGGGTTCAGCCGACTGTGATTCGCCTGAGGGGGGATGCCGCCGAATTTCATCATGGCCAACACTTTGAGAAGCCCAGCAACACCAGCAGCAGGCTCGCAGTGCCCAATGTTACCCTTTATAGAGCCGATAGACAACGGTGTTGCTCGTGAGGAGTCTCCCAGTACTGCCCGAATGCTCTCCATTTCGATGGGATCTCCTGCCTGAGTTCCCGTTCCATGAGCTTCCACGTATGAGACTTGAGAGGGCTGGAGACCCGATTTCTCAAAAAGGCTTCTATAGAGGGCCTTCAGGGCTGTTGGTGATGGTACCGTGAGGGTGGTCGAAGTTCCTCCTTGGTTGGTGGCAATGCTAGGGATAACGCCAAAGATATGATCCTCAGCACTGACTGCATCAGACAATTTCTTCAAAACGACCAATCCAGCGCCCTCAGAACGACAGTATCCATCGGCTGCGGCATCAAAAGGCTTACATTGGCCTGTTTGACTAAGGAATCCCGCTTTTCCCAAGTCAAAGAGATTGCCTGCCGTGGTGAGTGCGCTTACTCCACCGGCTATTGCCATGGTACATTCTCCTGCCTGAATAGCGCGACACGCTCGATGGATGGCCACCAAGGACGAGGAGCATGCAGTATCCAGGACCTCGGCGGGGCCAGACCAGCCATAGTAATAGCTGAGTCGGCCACACATGAAGGCGCGGATGGTACCCGTAGCTGTATATGCTGACGGGGCATGACAGGCGGTATTTTCCAGATATTCGTTCAGACTGCCTCCGATGAAGCAAGCAACTGGGTCTTCCGCGCTCCGCTGATGAGAGGTCAAGTACCCACTCGATTCTAAAGCCTCATAAGACAGCTCCAAAAGCATTTTTTGCTGGGGGTCCAGGCTGGCGGCTTCTCTGGCGTTGATGCCAAAGAAAGAATTGTCAAAACGTTTGATATCATCGACGAAGTTGCCAAAGAACTTTCTTTTCGCCATATCTTCATCCTGTAAGGCCCTGTAGCTCCTGCCGAGGTTGATTCTCTCGACTGTCACTTCTTCGTGAGTATCATGGCCTCTGGCAATCAAGTCCCAGAGTTTTTCAAGATTGTTTGCGCCCGGGAACCGACACGAAAGCCCCACAACCGCAATAGCACTGTCAGCGAACTCCAGTATACTGGAGGGGGTTGCTTGAGAGTTAGATACAAGCAGTTGATTTGCTTTGAACTTGAAAGCCTTGAGGCATTGCCTATTGAATGGCGACAAGGGCACACTATCATTGAGTCCGAAAATGACCAGCCGGTGAGCTGGACGTTCTGAGGCTTTGAGATCGAGAGCCACTTGGGTGACCAAGCCATACCAGTCGCAGCAGGATGCTAACATCATAGTTATCATATCCTCCATGATTTCGGCATCAGTCAATGCCTTTCCGGTTATGTTCGATCGCACGGTGACCTGTAGTCGACTTTGCTGGGGCAGCTGAAAAATAGATGAATTTTTGTTGATAATGTCCATGAACTCTGGAACTACGTGCTCATTCTCTGGATTATGAGCCTTTCCAGTCACATCCATCTTGTCTGCTGGTAGACCGTTTTCCCGACAATACTCATACATGGCCGCTATAGATTTCGCATTTCCTATAAAACTAAGCGTGCGAGGCTCTGTAATTGTCGAAACATATGTCTGGTTCCAACGACATTGATCAGTATCTGATAGCTAACGGGCTTTTTGTTCTAGGCTTGCGAGCATCTTGGGGCTTACACGCGGAAACATTTTCGTGAACTCTTCCTCTTGGCCTTCATACTTGAGGCGGACGGCCAAGATGTTGGACTCGCCCGTGGTCCAATCATCCAAAGCCTCGATGTACGCTCCCATTCCCACCATTATTCGCAGAAATACCGCAGCATTGTCCATGATCTGCCCTTCATCCTTCGCGCAGGCTATGGAAAGAGCAGGCGGCTCTCCTGCACAACAGCCATGAATACCTCCTCCTTTCTGTATCTGGGCAATAAAGTCGGCGTGAGAGATACCATGGAAGTCCAGGTAGCGAAGGTACTCCCCCAACTGAAGAATCAGGAGCAAGGGTAGGGCGATGATTCCCGTGCGAGCTTCGGAGACCGGGGCAGAGGGGCCCCCATTGGCCCAGTCCTTCAGCAGGCGTACATAGTTTTCAGCATTGGGCAGATTTCGCACATCCTCTCGATGGACAGCGAATAGATGCAACACGTCAGTCAGGGAGGCCACATGATGAAGCAAGGTTCTCCCGTGGGGATGTTTGCTCAGAAATATGTATAGGGCGCTGAGATCGGCAGGGTCTGGTGCTCGACTCTGGGGGTTGAAAAAGGCAGCCGAGGCCTGAATCGGGTCTATCGCAGCGGTCATAGTGACTTGGTGGTAATTGATGACATGGCTGCAAATCGTGTCACCCAGAATGTTTCATGTTTCTTTCTGAAGACACTTGTTTGTTTCTATGTTGACGGGGTGCAATGGTTGGTAGCCGATGCCTCCCGGATGGTTTCTGGTTCGAAGGAAGGGGGTTGTGACCGCCGGCGCATTATCTTATTGCTATTTGACCGACCGGCACCGGAAAATTTGGAGGAATCTCGAAGAAAGAGACAAGGGACGAGTGAGAATAAATGCATCCATTGATACAGAGCTACCTTTCCTTACTCTTAAACATGTATCTCATCTTCACCTCTTCAGGCTGGTCTCCGCTGGTTGTGGCGGTGGCCGCAGCGATGATGGGAATATTGGCATACCGACTGTGACTGGACCCTCTGGCTCGATTTCCTGGTCCTCGACTCTGCGCATGACAAGCAACAGAGAAACGCTGTAGACATGTCTTCGCAAATGAATCTTCGTACGAGATGAGTAAATTTGCTGTAGATTGGATGGAGGAGATCAGGAAGGTGAAGAGGTCAGGTGATTTTTCTGTCTACAGTGAATGCATCCTCTACTAACTATAAATGGCTATAGTAATAGCCTATGCTGCAGAATGTTATCCGGTGCAGACATATACTACTACAAGGTACTAGAAATCAATATCTAGCCCGTCCAGCTGGAGATTGAGGTAATGTGGGAACTCTTGGGCCACATCAATCAGCCAGAGGGCCGTGCCACAAGCTACATCGGCCACCTTCCTAAGCACCGTTGGCGTGGTGGGGATCGAGGGTGGATGCTATAGCCGAAGACTTGGCGCCATAGGAAATGCTGCAAATTCAAGCGGATGACCGACCGGTGATTCTGTTGGAGAGCATAGCCTAGCCCGTCTGCCAGATGAAAGCTGGCTGGCGAGGAAGAGGAGGGCGTGTGGGGTGAGTCGGAGCTAGGCATCGTACGCGGGAAAGAAGGGATAGATTGTAGTTCTGACAGTGATTGAACAGCAGTACCTGCTAGGTTCTGTATATCAAATATGACTTCAGCCTCACTTTTCTCCCTGATATGGTTCATCTATAAGCATACAACGTTACATCGTGCCTGGATGCCACACAACTAAAGGCTTTGTATAACTTAGTATACTATTAGCCCGTGTCTAGCCTGTTCTTGCTTACTCCGTAGATATTGCAACCGGCCAATCAATTGAATGGGGCAGGGTAGACTAGAGCTTCCCAAAGATAAGCGAGTGGCTGTAAGTTTAGCTCATCCTTCCAGCCTTCTCATCCAAGCCCTGTTCCTGGACTGGCCTCGTCTCAATAAGCGGTCGGTATTGCAAGGACTGGCTCTTCTACTACACCAAAGTGGAGGCCAGGGAACTTGACATCCGTCTTTTTCCGGCCACTGTTCTCTGCTGGAGTGACTCTCTGGTCAGCTGATAAGGGCAATATCGGTCCTTTCCACTCGAAGACGATATAGATGGTCTTTGTCAGGGCGGTATGGAGTCACACGGTTGGCAGACAGGACGCGATTAGTGCCAGCACGGATTCAATCATGCTCCAGTACTAACATATCACAGGTTATGAGTGTATTCTGCTTTGAGGTTTATTTTTTCTTGCAATACCGGGGGAATTTTGGTATTTTTCACATAGCTCCAAAACCCACCGGGTCTCCCTACCGGAGGAATGATGCCTGTCTGTGATACCCGCCGGGCAAATTCCCCGGATAATACAGGAGGACCCGGGGTATCTTGTCTTTCTATTGCAGCTGATTACTCCGTCATCTTCTGAGGTATGACAAAAGTAAACAAAAAAGGGAAATAGAAAATCAGGCACTCGACAAGGGTCTCCGTTTTTCGTACACTTGTTTTCTCCTCCTGTCTCAGCCTGTACATCCCCATTGACTTCGGTATGTTTGAAAGGCCAGTAGTCCGAGATTCTTTTCGTTGAGATAGTAGACAATTGAAACCACAATAAGAGGCTTGAAGTTGCTAGACCGGTAGCTCTGTCCTACATTCATTCGCGTGAGCACTGTGGTCATGAGCAGGCTTTGTTCAGCGTGTTAAGTCTGTCTGAGAGGCCCATCCGCCGTGGCGACCGGTAGATTTCATTCAAGCCGAAGAAATCGGCTCGTAGTAGAAGTATGGCGCAACATTAGCCTTGTCGATTTGGATTGGTGGCTGCACTGCCGTGATCAGGTAACAAGGAAAGGTGGTCAGTGGAGTGAGCTAGTGAGGGAAAGGCCGCCACCGCGCAACATATTCAAGGATAGGCTACATTCCCATGGATATCATTCACCTCAAAGAACATCCATCACTCAAGACGTGCGTGTAGTATTGTGCTTTATTATTGGGCACCATCTATACTTCAATTGCTCCCTTTGTTCGCTCTGATAGTTCTGCCAGCACGCTGCGAATGCCCTTGACGGTCTTTTCCGCTTGACACATTATGGTCCGCACGAGGAAGGACATTTCACCCGTGCTCTGGTGTAAGATTCCCTCCCCCTGGAGCATCCGCCCGCTCACACAAAGGTCGGCTGGAAGGCCAAGAAGAGCCTCGGTCTCTCCAAGATGATGAACACAGATCTGCAGGACGAACTTGAGCTGGAAGCGGTAATAAGACGACAGTGAAACGCCGCCAATGTGCAGCATTGGGAAAAGAACGAAAATATCAGAAGGTGAGGATTCATGAGATGAGCAGTCGCTAAGCTTCATCAGGGCGAAATTCATTTCTTGGTAAAGGGCGTAATGAAGCTGCGTCAAATGAATGTACGCTGACAGGACCTGCAAGATCATGGCTGTGTCTGACAATATGGGGTCCAGACCATCAAGCGCCTCTAGCATCGATCTGGCTTCACTCAGAACGCGATGTAATTCAACGGAGCTCTCAATCACATTGGCTGCTAGCTGTTCCAGCCGTGGCATGGGGTTATTTGCCGTGTCCGAGTCTATGGAGAGCGATTTGATTTGGCTCGCAAGCTTTACGCTGAGTGCGCAGAGCTGCTGGATGAGACTCCCTGCAATGGGAGGAACAATGAGCTCGCATTCTATGGGTTTGGTGCCTGTGCCTGGCTGGCTGCATTCCGTAACCAATAAAGGGCTGTCTCTAATGACTGGTTGATCCGTCATGAAATCTACTTGTTGGCGATTGCTGTCCGTTGGCAGCGGATGGGAGGCGCCTTCAACATACGTCCTGGATGTATCCCCGTCATCCCAAATTCCAAGCCCGGGTATCGTGGGCAATGAATTACTGAAAAGCGGTATCAGCGTCTCTGAATCGTCTGTAACCACATCGAGAAGCATGGCCTCGAAGCTTGGCTGGGCGTCATCTGTGCCTTCCAAGTTGCCATCATTCTCCTGGAGATCTCTAGAGCCGCCAAGGGAGTCTGAATACGGCCGGAGATGTTGATGTTGGTGCTTTTTCTGTTGCTGTTGCCGTCGCCTTCTTTGTTGTTGCTGGTTCTGTTGTTCGCTCCGATTACTGCTCGCGAGTCTCCAGCCGCCCGACGTATCTTTCATGCCCTGGTGTCGTGTTGGTGGTCTTCCTGCTTTTCGGGCCATGCTGAACACACATAGCGCGCCAGCTGCCACGCACCGGTGACATGATGATTTGGTGGGTTCCCGAATGCACCGCATTTTCTGGCCATGGCACCGGTCGCATGCAGCCCGTTTCACAGCACTCATGCTGGGAAAAGTGGAGTAAATCGCAAATTATGTCGGGTGGTCGGGCGAACTGGGCAATTAAATTGGGCTCATGTCATATCAGGGAGGGGAATTAATATGTTAAGCGCAGTGTGAGATATACGGGTCCACAAAATGGATTGTGTATGCGTCGTGGTCGTGGTGGTGGGTGGGGGCGGGCAGATCTCTATAGTTTGAAAATAAAATGGGTGCGGAAGTTTTGGGATGCTTTTCTTTTCAGGTCAGGGAACAAGAATCGGTCTATAAAGATGGCAAGCTGTGCAGGAACTGTATTATCTGTAGCTTCGTGGTTGTTCAGTCGCTTAGCAAACTTCCCTAGAAAAGACGGCGCAAAAACGAGTACAACAGAAGAGACCACTCATAGCACAACGCGCATTTGCTTGTGGATGTAAACCTGGCTAAGAGCATGGGCTCACTAACCTATTACACGAGCTGGCACAAGAAAAGTATAGACCTGGTAGATCCATACAAGTAAATGACTGCCAAAGCTTCGAAAGTGGCTGAGGTCAAAGCTAATAAGTACCTACAGTAAGCCCGTCAGCCAAATAAGAACCCTAAAGATAGGGGAATAGAGGGGGTGAGAAGCAGTCACCATCAGATTTCGCGCCTATTTTTCGAGTCTCCGAATGATTGTAAGCGCCAATCTACTAAATAGATAGCTCCGTTCCCTATGTTAGAGACCTACTTTAATCAGTGTGTTATGCACGCTGGACTGCAGGTACCTCGACTTCGACAGGTCAAGCTGAGCTTGTTTGGGTCTTAGTATCTGCGGTGTCCTACTTCCCTTGCTGCCCAGCTGAGCCACGGAATGAAGGATGGTATGTCGTAGACAAGTAACTCCAAAAGTGGTCAACCATCCCAGAAAATATTCTTGCATTATCCGATGTGTAATCCTGTCGTCACCCAACGCTATAGCCATCTTTGTTATCTGACTCTTGGTGAGAGAGGGGAAGGAAGGAAGAAGGAAGAAGGACGATGGAAGTGACAAGTCAGTACTTCGCGGCCTTCCCAATGGGGGTACTAAATGGGGTAAGGCAAGGCGTTGTTTGTCATAGTGACACAACAGATTGTCTGCTTGGTAACCGCAAAAGTAAGTAGTTCAATCGGTGCCGTATGCGTTGCAGTTGCTCAATAGTAAAGAAAAACATTTCTGCATGTGCTGATTGGCCCACATCACCTGACTTCTGCGGCTTTACAAGCTCTTTGTCGTCTTCTTCCTGGACTTCCTACTTCTAGAACCAACTTTATGTGTTTTGATCCGATCAGAAATTCACAATGACCCTTTGGCATCTCAGAAGAAGATTTCTTCTGGATGCTGCCTAGAACACAGTTCTGTGTATTTTGAAGAGGCATTCGAAATCCGTGTGAAATGAGAATTCCCGAAATCGGCTGGCTGCTCCCTTGCAGCAGCAGTCGGGTTGCTTGGGCATGGTGCCTCAGGCTCTCGAAACCCGTACGTCGTGGCTGCAGTGCTGTTAGCATGGGAACGGAATGGAGACAGCAAACACAGCGTAGAGATAGCTGTGAGGGGACTGTGTCATTCTTCTAGTGTGAGGTTTACCAATATGGAGCAGTCCCTTGGGGAGTATCAGCGATACCCTCGAGCCTCGATCCCATTATCCGAGACCCGACTAATCCACTCTTTATTAGATCTTCAGGCATACAAGACATATCCCTCACCGATCTTCCTCTTGTCTGCCTGGCCTTCTTATGCCTTACCAGCCCTGTCGGTCAAGGGCTTGTAACGCTTAAGTAGCAAGGCGTTACGGCATCAGGACATAGACTACCCCTAATAAATGCATTGTTGTCAACACCTTATAGGTGTAGAAACCGGAAAGCAAATTATGCGCTGAAAGCAAAGGTGCTCAGGATGTGGATGCCGGCATCTACTATGATATTTCCAGATCCGGGGGTTTTACTGTAGGCGCCTCAAACTCGCCGGCTGGGCATCGATTGCCGGTCAAGAAGGGTGGGCATTCGCACCCGGCCTACTCCCCAAACATTCCTGTCCTGTCAAAGGGACCATCCGATAGCACTTGAGCTTATCTGATCGAATTCCTCTGTGAACTGTTTTCAACGCGCTTGTTCTTCCATGACAATACTCATCAGGCATTGAGGTGGGAAATTCGAAAGGACACCCAATGCAGAGCTCCGATTTCGAGCCAATTGCCGTCATCGGGTTTGGCCTTAAGCTCCCTCAACAAGCATCGACTTCAGCAGGCTTTTGGGACCTTCTCATCCAAGGCCGTTCGGCACGTACAGAAACTCCTGCCGATCGGTTCAATGCGGAGGCTTTCTATAAGGCAACGGCTACTGGTGACAGACAAAGAGTGGGCACAGTATGTTGAAAGATAAACTTGTGGTATGAAAGTTGAGCAGGAGATAATTATAGATACAGATAAAAACCTAGACATGGGCATTACATTGCCGAATCCTTGGACCGCTTCGATGCTCCCTTTTTCTCCATATCTCCCCATGAAGCAGAATGCATGGATCCACAGCAGCGATGGCTCCTCAAAGTGGCATATCATGCACTGGAGAATGGTACGCATTCGTATGCTCCTCAGCATAGGCAGGCTGCTAACGACAAACAACAGCAGGCCTTAGCATTGAAGAAGTAGATGGATCGAATACATCAGCATTCGTAGGCAGCTTCATGAACGATTTCGAAACGATGCTGCACAAAGATTTGGACATGCCGAGCACCTACCATGCTACAGGAAAGGCTAGTGCTATCCTTGCCAATCGGATCAGCTGGTTTTACAACCTCAAGGGCCCCAGTGTCGCAATCAACACAGCTTGTTCCAGCAGTCTGGTTGCCCTACATCTGGCGTGTGAGAGCCTCCGTACCGGAGAAACAAGCATGGTAGGTTTCATGATGGGTAATCATATCCGAGCATCTGTCTAATCGGCTTTCTCCCTAGGGTCTTGTCTGCGGCAGCAATCTCCTTTTTACCCCAGAGAACACGGCCGGATTATCCAACCTCAACTTCCTCTCACCGGATGGTATATGCTACGCATTCGATGAACGAGCAAATGGTTACGCTCGTGGGGAAGGCATTGCATGTCTTGTAATCAAACCGCTCTCTGCCGCTCTAAGCAACCAAGATCCCATTCGGGCCCTTATTCGAGGAACCGGAGTGAACTCGGATGGTCGGACTCCCGGAATCTCACAACCAAGTCCCAGCGCTCAGATAGATTTAATCCGAGGTACCTATGCTCGCTTTGGCCTCGCGCTCGATAAAACTCGTTATTTTGAGGCGCACGGGACCGGCACTCAAGTGGGGGACCTCATTGAGGCAGAAGCCATTGCGACGGTGTTTCGTTCAGGGCAACATGACGGACGACCCATCTACGTAGGTGCCCTGAAATCCAATGTTGGCCACCTTGAGGGTGCGAGCGGACTAGCAGCGGTGATCAAAGCTATCTTGGTGCTAGATCGTGGCGTCATTCCCCCTAATATCTGGCATGGGAGACGGAACCCGGCAATCAAGGAAGAATGGGGGTTGCATTTCCCTACAACCTCAATTCCGTGGCCCGAAAATGAGCTTAGGCGTGTTTCGGTTAACTCTTTTGGATTTGGTGGGACCAATGCCCATGCAGTTATTGATGGTGCTCAGTCTGTTGCCCGGAATAAAGGACCGGGGCATCTGCACATAAATGGCAATGCTTTCCTTTCCCAGGAAGCTACAAAGCTACTGGTCTGGTCAGCAGCCGATGAGAAGACTGCCTTACGGGTTGCTCAGGGTTTTAAGGATTTTCTTTCAGAACACACTGAAAGCAGATCGCCAGCGTACCTAGAGGCCCTTGCATTCACCTTATCGCGGCGTCGCACCCAATTTCCCTGGAGAACTTTCTGTGTCAGCAATCCCAGCCAGGGCCTCGGCAACCTAAGCGTTTCCCCGGCCGTGCAGGTCAAGTCAAAGCTTCAGGTATGCTTTGTATTTACCGGACAAGGAGCTCATTGGGTGGGCATGGGGAAGGAACTCCTCGACTACGACGTCTTCAGGCGCAGTCTAGAGGAGTCAGACACACTCCTCCACAATGTTGGATGCCAATTTTCAGTTCTTGGTGGGTAAAGCAATGCATCATTCTAGTCAATTGACAGAACAATTCTAATATTCACTATATCCAGAAACACTGTACAGTTATAAGGGCACCGAACTGAATCAACCAGAGTTCTGCCAGCCGATTTGCACAGCTCTACAGGTTGCCCTCGTCGAACTTCTATCGGACTGGAACGTCCATCCATTTGCTGTGGTTGGTCATTCGTCCGGAGAGGTTGCCGCTGCATACTGTGCCGGAATCATCACTAAAAGCCACGCTCTTGAGCTGGCCTTCTTCCGAGGCTTAGCTGTCTCGGCAACATCGCGAAGAGGTTTCCCAGATGGCGGCATGCTGGCGACACGGCTCTCATCAGATAAATGCTCAGAGCTGCTTGCAGACCTTGCAAATAGTCAGAACCCCGAAACGCGCAACATTGGTATCGCGTGCTACAACAGCCCCCAGAACTTGACCTTATCCGGAGATACGAATCAAATCGAAAGACTGGCACTCATGTTGGAAACAGAAGGAATCATGAGCAAAAGGTTGAACATTTGCATCGCGTACCACAATGCAAAGCATATGGAACCTGCAGCAAGCTTATATCAGGCTCTTATCAAGAACTCACACTCGAGCGAACCCGGAGGGAGGGCGAATCTAGCACCCAGTTGCTACATGTTTTCCAGTGTTCGCGATATTTTTTTGGCGCCAGACTCCGATGCATCTGAAGTTTCGAAGCCAGACTATTGGCTTGACAATCTTGTCTGCCCAGTACTATTTACACAAGCCATGCAGAAGTTAGCATCGCTACTCGAAAATAAGGTTGGAATTGCGAATACCCATTTTATCGAGGTCGGACCACATTCTACACTCAAATCAGCAATCAAGGAGAACTTGGCCTTGGAGTCCAAGGTCTGGAGCGTGGAAAGGACGTACAGTCATATGTTATCTCGCCAGCAATCAGCAGTATCCACCGCGTTGACGGTTGCAGGAAGACTGTATAGTCTTGGCCTTCCAGTCGATTTGAGTGCAGTGAATAATCAGCACTCGAATAGCAATCGGGTACTCTTCGATCTTCCGTCATATCCATTCGATCATTCCAAGTGATACTGTATGGAAAGCCGCATCAGCAAGGACTATCGGTTTAGGAAATACCCCCACCATGATTTCCTCTGCAAGTCAGCATCGGATTGGAACCCTGTGGAACCACAATGGAACAACAGAATCATTCTCCAAGAACAGCCATGGATCAGAGATCACCAGGTGAGTTAGATTCACGTGGATTGCTTTAAGCTTTTCATCCTTTTAATCAGTCGGCACAGGTTTCTGGGGTTTGCGTCTATCCTGCAGCTGGAATGCTTGCTATGGCTATTGAAGCTACACGACAGGTTGTACATGTCCCCCACCACCAGCCGAAAGGCTACCAGTTCAGAGATGTTGTATTTAGCAGAAGTGTTGTGGTCCCAGACTCAAGGCTGGGAGTTGAGGTCCAGTTCCGCCTGCGAAGGATTGAGCAGCTGAGCATGGACCTTGCCCCTTGCTATGACTTCCGGCTCTACATGCACGACCACGGGCAATGGACTCAATGTTGTCGAGGCTATATTACGGTTGAGCACCATACTAGCCTTTACGACTTTGACCTCGATCGCAGTGTGGCGGACGAATATGTGAAACGACTGAGTGCAAGCCTCTCGCCAACTGAACACCGGAGATTCTATGCACGCTTGCGTGACTCGGGGCTTAGCTATGGTCCAATATTTCAATTGGATCACGACATCATGCACGGTGCGGAGAATGAAGGTGTCGGGAAGATTGATTTGCAAAGGTGGACCGACCTCATTGAAGAGAACGACCAATCGCCCTGCTTCATCCACCCTGCGGCACTCGATTGCATCATTCAAGTGGCCTACCTTGGAATCACGCGTGGGGGACAAGTTGAAATCCCAACCATCATACCGACAGCGGTCAATCATCTGTGGATATCGGCGAATATAACACAGCAAATGGTTGCTGTGTCCGCAAAATCTGTTCAGAGCAGTGCGCGATGCTATGATGTGGATTACATCTCAGTTGGGGCTGAGACCGAGAGAACTCTTCTCATAGGCGATTTAACACTCACATCCATTGAAAAGTCTGCTGCCCCAGCTGTAAACGAGACCAAGGCAAGCACCGTCTCCATGTACCGTGTCGAATGGAAGCCCGATGTCAATCTTCTTGGCCCTCAATCTGGGTTATTTGCCGCCCAGCCATTGCAGCTATCCCAAAGTGAGTCAGAAAGGATCAAGCTCACTGAATATGCCTGCTTCCTTGCCATGACTGAAGTTTTATACGCAGTCGATAGTGGCGTGTCAATTGATTCCCAGAGCCCTAAACATCTACAGAAGTACCTGGCATGGATGCGACATCAGACCGGGCTTATAAGAGCGTCCGTTGGTTGGAAAGATTGGATCTCTACACAACCAGCAGGTAGTGGGCTCCAGGAACAGCTGTGGCAGAGAGTATCATCATTTGGACCCGAGGGCAGGCTTATTGTCAAGTTGTATAGGCAAATACTGCCCATCATCCAGGGTGAGATTGATGCGCTGCAGATTCTCTTTGCCGACGAAACGTTGGCAGACTACTACAGACTCGAGAACCCTCCTCCTGAAGTTGTAAAGGGAGTCCAGCAGTATGTTGACTGCATGGCGCATGCCAATCCCAACATGCGGGTGCTGGAAATCGGGGCAGGTACAGGTGGAATGACACAGTATATCCTGGATATCATTGGCGGCCATAATGGCAGTGCTGCGGAGCGTTTTGCACAGTATGTGTTCACAGACATATCTCCCGCCTTCTTTAAGGACGCCAGAGAGAAATTTGACAGAGGGGAAAGAATCATAATGAAGACCCTGGATATTGAGAAGACACCTGCAGACCAAGGCTTTGAAATAGAGGCATTTGATCTCGTCATTGCCAGCAATGTAAGTTCGCACTTAGCATAACGGTGGGTTCAGAGCTGATCAGCCTAGGTTTTACATGCCACCAAGGATTTGGAACTGACTCTAGGGAACGCCAGACAGCTTTTGAAGCCTGGAGGGAAGCTTATACTCGTTGAAGGTACCAGTTCCAACCTACTTAGGACCTCTTTCATCTTCGGCTGCTTGCCGGGATGGTGGCTATCAACTGAGGCGTATCGCGAGTGGGGACCACTGGTCCCTGTGGACCGGTGGGATAAGTTGCTCCAGGATAGCCATTTCACCGGAGCGGGGTCCCTCATAGACGGCCCAGACAAGGCAAATTCATTGAGTAGTGCGATAATCTCAGCTGCGCGCCCTCTCGTTCGGTCCAACAGCGACATGTCAACATCGTCAGACATTCTCATTCTGAGAAGAGAGAGCTCGGTTTTGCAGCAGTCCTTAGCTACCTCAATACGCGACTTATTACAAGAGTCAAAACTGCCTGTCAGCATCATGGATGCTTCTGAACTACACGAGGTTGCCAAGGGAGCTACCATGGTCTTGTTGCAGACCATTGACGACTTCGTCTTCCACGAGCTTGACGAGAAAGGGTACCAGGATTTAAAGACTACTGTGGCAATGGCCAATAAGCTGCTTTGGGTGACACGGAGACACAATAGCCCAAAACCGGATTCGTTGGGGCAGGACGCTGTGCTTGGCCTTGCACGCTCCCTTATGTCAGAGAACGAGGGCCTCAATATCGTGACCCTAGGACTGGAAGATATCGAAATTACTTCCCGCGCAGCACAGCAGTGTTGCAACACTATTCCTGTGCCGACACCTCCTTACTGAGCATAAATGGCGAGGAGATCTTTGACATCGGTGGCCGCCTGTGCTTGAGTCGTGTCTTGCCGGCAGAAACAATAGCGAAAGAGATCTGGAGCATGCAGCAATCCAAGGCCCATATGGATAACAATGTGCGCAGCCTTGGGAACAATGAAATTGAAATCCAGATACGCGCAGCTACGATTACACCAAAAATTACCACTGGCCAACCTTCTTTGGGCCAGGAGATAAACGGCACCATCACCCAGATCGGGTCAGACGTGCAAGGCACCTTTCAGGTTGGCGATCCCGTTGCTGCTATCGTACCGCATTCTGGCACAGCATCAATCAAAGATCTGATTCAGTGCCCGGTTGGTCTCGCCCATAAGATCCCCGACGAATTATACAAAAAGGGAGAAATTGTTCTGCCACTCGATTTTCTGATAGCATACGACTCGCTGCACAATTGCGCGCGGCTACAGGCAGGGGATTCGATAATCATCCATGACGGGGCTAGTTCACTCAGTCAAGCCGCGATTCAACTCGCTCAGTTCCTGGGTGCAGAGGTTTTCGTGACTTTCAATATTCAGGATGAGGAAGCTATAGCGGTTATGTACTCTATTCCCGCTTCGCACAGATTTCCACAACAAGGCCCTATGCTGACGATGGGAATCAAACGCCTAACCCACGGTCGAGGCGCGGATGTCATGTTCACCCCATTGATTGCGAAGGAATCAGATCAAACAGCGTGGGACTGCTTGAAAGAGTATGGCCGAGTTATTGAGGTGGTCGACAAGTATGCACGTACTTTCTCCGGAGCTATACCTCCCCGGCCTCGACTGTTCAATCAAAGCATCATGTCTGCCCGGCTGGATATTCCGACGCTTCTTCAGGACGCAGAGAAAATTGCAACTATCTTGCCTGAGGTCATGCGTCTGATGGGGCATAAATCAGTGGTTCCTGTACAACCTGTCAGAGTACTCACCTTCTCTGAGCTTGAGAACTCCGGTGGTGTGAAGGCTGTCGAGCAAACTCGATCAGCCAAGACGTGTATTTCTTTCGACTTGAACAGCCTTACCGCATCTAAGCCGCAACTATTTGACTCAACATCGACATACCTCATTGCCGGGGGCTTGGGTGGTCTTGGAAGAAGCATAGCCAAATGGATGATTTCCAATGGGGTCCGATATCTCGTTCTCCTGAGTCGGCAATGTACAGGAAGCCCTGGAGCAGAGACCTTCCTTGACGAATGCGCGACCATGAGCGCAACAACTTTCGCACCCAAGTGCGATATCAGTGATGAAAGAGCAGTCAGTGAAGTCATCCAGGAAGTACAGCGGCGGATGCCTCCCATCAAAGGATGCATCCAGGCATCTATGGTTCTCAAGGTAATCTATCACATAAGAAAAAATGCCCCAAGCAAAAATCACAAGTTAACATGTCTGTTATTGCAGTCTGCCATGTTCGCGAATATGACCCTCGACCAGTGGAACGAAGCACTACGCTCAAAGGTGCAAGGCTCGTATAATCTCGATCGCCACCTTCCAACCCAGCTGGACTTTTTCATTTTCTTATCGTCCGTGTGCGGTATGATCGGCGCCAGCGGTCAATCCAACTACGCCTTTGGCTGCGCCTACCAAGATGCACTGGCCCGATCTAAAGTCGCGATGAGACAGACGGCCATTTCCATTGACCTCGGGATTGTCGAAGGGGTTGGATACACGGCCGAGCATCAGGGCGTGAGCTCCTTCATGCGCTCTCTGGGGTTACAGCCCATCCCTGAAGAATATCTCCTTTCCATATTAGAATATTACTGCGACTCCAGGCGTGAAATCCTTCATCCCAGCGACGCCCAAATAGTCGTTGGCATCATGAACCAAGACGAGATGCAGCGAAGTGGACTTGTGCGCTCGCGATTTTACTCGCGGCCGTTGTGGAATCATTTGCAGCGACGCATGAACCCAACGCTTGGCAGGAGCAAGGTTGTTGCTGCTCAACGATCGAATGAGAAGGGCCCCTCATCGCTCAAACTCCCGACTGCTGCGAGCGATGATACGCTTTCGTCTACTATGCCAGATGGCGGTCCAGACGCGGTCAGTCGGGCCATCTGCGAGAGGGTCTCGGATGTGCTTGCTATCAACGCTGATGATATTGACCCAGCGAAGCCGTTGCATATGTATGGGGTGGACTCATTGGTTGCGATGGAATTGCGGTGTTGGTTTAAGGAAGCACTGCAGAAGGATGTGGCTGTGTTTGATATCTTGAGTAATCGGCCGATAGGAGTGTTGGCTCGGGAGGTCGTGGGTGTGGCTGCGGCTGCATGAGGTGGGTTACAACTATTCGATGGATGTCCTAGAAGGGGTGAGGTGTAGCTACTAGTCTGAGAGTGACGTTTTCTCCAGTTGCGGCGCTTGGCCTCATACATGGACTCCTGTGGCTTAGGGCAACCTGCGGTGGTGTACAAGGTACCCTGTAGTGATAGTCCGCTTATTGCGTCATGATGAACGTTGTCTTGCGTACGCCCGTCAGGTGAACTTTGAGAAACCTGTCGTTGGCATGTAGGAGTGGTTGATCCGCATTACTCGGTAGCATAGATCTTGAGTTCAGACTTTGAACATCAGTCATCCGATGTAGTCATAAGTATGGAACGTACACACGGTCGCGGGTTCATTGGCGGAACCAGATACCGGCTATCCTCTAGATTGGCTCTTCAACGAGGAATGCCTAGTAGGCACGAGTCATCAGCTCGTGCCGATTACGTCCCTGCCCTTTG